AAGGAGTTTCTCTTATCCGTCGCAGCTCAAAATACACTTGACAGTGCACACCGGCGAGAAGCCATATCGTTGCACAGAGTGTGGACAAGCCTTCTCGCAGAAGCATAATCTAACTGTGCACGTCCGAAAACACACCGAGGAGAAGCCACATCATTGCGACAGATGCAACTCACATTTTTATGAACAATCAGCACTAACTAAACACAAGAGAACGCATACAGGAGAGAAACCGTACAAGTGCACTATCCCGGGCTGCGAACAGCCATTCTCACTGTCCTCCAGCCGAAACCGGCATGTGCGTACCCACAAGGCGAATATCGAGAGGCAAACCAAACCTGCAAGTGGATGAAAATAAACAGGCACTGCTCTATCGGACCAGCATCTCCAGTTCAAACACGACAATGTCGGTAGGAGCACCAAATCAGAAGATAACATGCGATCTGACAAGTGTGTGTGTGTGTACAAGTAGTATCCTGGCATAAACTGCATTTGCTGCTGCACCCATCCTAACACCCTCCGCTATCAACCATTCTCGTCTTTGATTTATATAATTATTGCAAACCAGTAAAAAGGTATTATAGTGGTTTTCGGAATTATTTAATTCCTCTCTTGTCTCGCGTATAGTTTTAGTCGCATTTTTGGACTGTCGAGTTTTGCCACAACGTTACCTTGTTGGTTTGTAGCTTTTCTCTTTTGCTGTGTTTCCTGTTGCTACGTGTTGCTGTTGTGTATGTGGAACGTTTTGGTCGTTTATTCCATGTACTCGTTTTGGATTTGTGAATTGAAATAAAGTAAACGCACAAAGGAACAGGGGAAGAGTGTTTTGCTCCCTACATCGCAGCGCACGATTTTCCTGCCGAGTTGAATTCTCACTACTAACAAACAACATCAAAAAAAATATTTGTGGAATGTCAATAATGTCATCAAGAGGGGGGGAGTGGCAGGAGTTGTAGAACAATGTACTTCCTCTCTGTATGATGATATTCCCCAAACTGTCTTTTGTTTAGCGTGAATGCGTGCGATGAGCATACGTAATTAGAGAGTCTTGAGTCTTGCCTTTTAAGTCTTCTTGTTCTCCCGTGGAAGTTGTTAAGAGTGGCGTCGCAGTAAAAAGACAACTGTCGCTGGGGAAGCCCTGAAGGTATGTATGCAACCCACCGCCTCGACCAGCGTAAAAACCATCCAACACTCGGTGAAAATACGTTAGACCTAGGTCTCTCCGACTTCACTACCACAGTATCAACGAACGTGCTTGTTCCCCTCGGCAGGTCCGATCATGCCATTTTGATATGCAGCTTGAAAGCGGTTTCCGCACGCCGTGATCAAACAACCTCTCACAAGGTGTGGAAATACGACAGTGCTGACTGGAACAGACTTAGGGCATTTTACCACGGTCACGACTGGCAGTCGATAATGTCAGACGATCCCACTCTGCTTCGCGAGCGATTATATTTGTATTTATATCATTATATAATGGCACATCATGATGAGGGCCAGTAAAACTGAGACAAGGGTGAAAGCCAACCGCTGCGGTAAAACAGATAAAAGAATGCAAATAAAAGGCAAAGAAGGCAAAGGAGGAGACAAACCAGCAGGATGTCATGCAAATACATGAAAACTATAATTGGGCAGAGAATGTAGCAACAAAATTATCCATCGACGTGCTGGTCTTGGCCTGCGTTGTTAATGTTGCGCAAAACACATAGCCAGTAAAGATCGGGGATCTAGTGAATAGGGTAGAGGCAGCGCGTGGGAGACTGAATGAGTTCTGGGTATTCCGTGTTTCGGAGAACCAATTATAAGCCTGCATATGCAAGGGTATTCTATTTAGTAATATTCTATGTATGAGAAGCAAGGCTAGTCCCATCAAAGGCATCTGGACCTAACTGTATTCCATCTCTGGTGTTGAAAGAGTGATGTAAGGAACTTACTGCTCCCATCACGAAACTGTTTAGTGCAGCCAGTATGATTTTACATGTTTTAGGCGTGGTCGGGGCACAGCTGACCTTCTTACAGCACTCCAGAGCGAACGGGTGTGAGAGGGGGGGGAGGGACTGTATCCCAATATTAGCAATTTATATTGCCGGTGCGTTTGATGGCGTCTCTCACGTCGGCCTCCTCAACAAGCGAGTAGGCATCGGCGGACCTCTTCTCTCTTGGCTACGCGACAACATGTACTACTCATCCACGACAGAAGCTCACCTCCTCCACCTAACCTGAGCATTGTCTGTGGTTGGACTGTTATTTCCCCGTCTGACTTACCTGGTACTGACTCTCGACTCAACTTTTTAAAAGTTTCAGTTCCCACGTGAATTCCCTCAGGGAAGATATTGGAAAGAAACTAGGTGCTTTTCGATGTGAACGGAGGAAACTTGCTGTCCAGGCCAGAAAGCAGTTCTACTGGTCAGTAGTCCAGAGCAAGCTCGAGTACGTGAGCACTGCCTAAGTACACTGTCTCGCTGACAGTAAGTAACAGACCGCTTAGATACATATTTGAGCATGACACATTCACGCGCACATCATACTTGCTTGAGAGGTACCACATAAGTAGCTTAGACAAAATATATCATACTAAGTCCATATTGTTCGTGTTCCAATGCATCCACAATATCAGCAGTTCACTCCTCTCTGTTCTCCCTTCGCCGTGACTGCGCTCACACAGATAGAGTCACCCGCGGCCAAGTCAATAATTCCCTTTCTTTACCCATTGTGCGAACTAAAAACTCAAGCTGGATAGAAATCTATTAATTTTCATTCCTTCGTGCTGACCGCTTTAATGCGCTTCCCGAATCACTTCGCACAAATCGTATCCCCAATTCATTTCGCCAGGAACTTTAAAACAAACTCATTCATCTTGGGCACCCTGTAAAATGCCCTAGTAAAATTATAAAAATACAGTACAATACTACCTGAGTAACCGCTGCCTATAGGTGGTTACTAGAAGCAACGCTTCCAAGAAGTACCCCATCACTGCCGGAGTGCCCCAAGGAAGCGTCCTCGGCCCCACACTCTTCATATTATTTGCTGCCGACATTGAACAATGGCTCTCGCATGGTTTAAGGCTCATCTTTTTCGCTGATAACACTACCCTGTACAGTCAGACCAAAGTACAACCTCCACGAGAAGACAGTATCTTTACAGACAACCCTCAGCAATCTTGCCGCACGAGGGCCAGCAATGGCGGATCCAGTTGGAGCCCACCAAGAGCCAGCGCCTGATTTTATGCAGTGCTGGAGAGCGCCCTGAATTTCCACCAACCACTTTTGCCAGCGAAGTTATTCCGGACTCAGACCACCTGAACCTTCTTGGAATCACATCTTTGCTCGGGGTCCAGCGCCATATCCATGCTGTTATTGTCAAGGCCAGCCAGCGCCTGGGATTCTTGCGACGTGCTGCTTGGCTTCAGGGTCATGAGGGCCGCCTTGCCGTGTATAACTTAAGGGGTTCATTCGGCCCACTTTGGAGAACGCTCGCCTTGTCACATTGTGTGCAGCCCAATCCCACCTTGCTAGCACACTATGACAGGGTGCAGGAGAAGGCAATGCGGATCGTCAGATCTGCCACGATTCTTCAGAGCTTGCAGCTCAGGAGGGCAGTCTCAGGGCTTGCATAATCACGTGTTCAAGTTACACTACATTGAGGGCCCACCGCAGCTGACAGCCCTCCTCCCGCCACATGTGACCTTCAGCGCCTGCACTTACTCCTAGAACTCGCCGACAACTAACTTCTCGTCACCCCTTCCAGATGCAATGGCCACTTGCTTGGACAGCACGGAACTACCTGCTAAGGTCATTCTCCTACACCATTATTGCAGCAGGGAACGAACGACATTCCTGAGCAAGTCATCCCGGAGCCCCATGCATCGAAGGCAATGCAGGTCTTCAAGTCCCGCATATGTCAGCACCTGATGGGCGACAGCATTCCATGGCTAAGTGTGACTGTAGTCCATTCTCCATTCCTACAACGATCACCTTGTCTTCACCCCACTGAACTGTACCTTGCTTCCTAGAGCTCCCGAAACACCTCAGTGCAGAACGCTTTTGCGTTGTGTTTCGGTTTTGGACCAAGGAACTACAAGTTACACTATTATGTCCACTAACACCAACAGCTACAAAACAATCAGCTCATGCGATAACATTGCACTACACTGACGGATGGTACTGACGTTCTACAACTAAGTGGCTAACAGCTCTAGCGCATCTTGGATGCGCACTCCAACAGACTGTCAACTGCTACTTGGAAAGTTCTAATGTATTATGATAACATTGGAGGGGAAGGTGGTGTTAGTGGACATTATAGCGTGACCAATTTACTTGTCATTCCTTGGTCCTTTGTCTATTCCATAAATTTATCCTTGGCTCTCATTCTGAGTCCAATCTAAGTTCTAACACTACCACAGTGCATGCATACCTCTACATGCACCCGCTTATTTCTATTATACTCGACATCATCTCAGTTTTAGTCCAGATCATCCCTTCTCCTAACCTGACATCCGTGCCCTATCGACCATGACTTGCCACATTTGCCACTTCTTTTCTTCCACGCACACCAACACATCTTGCCAATCCGCACTTATCTCCTTATGATCGGTATTTCTGGCCTCTTTCTAGTTGAACATTGTACGGTTGAGCCAGTGAAGTAAAAATAAATTCAATACACCACAATACAATACACGCTGATCATTTCCCTTCTCTCACCTGCATTGACCCCCAGCACTTACCCTGAACAACTTCAGCACCACTTACTGTTTGATATTCCCACCTTCACAGTATCACCGTTTCTCAACGCTATCAACTCCATATTAGCTCAAGCCACTACAAAGAACTCTGCATAATAATATTCACTGTAACTTTTGCTCAGAACTTATAAATGTTCTTTATATTTCAAATTCTGTGCTTAGTCTTTGCCATGGACAATAGCAATGCAGCCAGGAATAGCAATCCTTCCTTTGATCAACCCAGTCCGAGTGATGGAGCAGCAAGCAGCTACACACACAACAGGATCAATCACCGAGCGCAGGGACACTCCAAAGATCGGCGACTCAAATTGTTCAGCCTAACCAAATGCCGGATCATCAGCCCGATGCATACAGCTTGCGTGAGGCAGCGAACGTTCCGTCCTTGCCACTAGTCACCACCGGCACGGGCTTCGTTGTAAATACAGGACAAGATCACGATGTATTTGCACCTTCGGCTGGTAGCAATGTGTTCATATCACCCTTACTAGCAAGGGCTATACAACAAGAACAACAACATGCCCAACAGCCGCACATCTCGAGCTCACCGGAAATGCCACCAAGTCAACACGCAGGCGACAAGCCATACAAGTGCACAATCCCAGGCTGTGAACTGGCATTTTCAACGTTATGGAATCTCAAAATCCACATCCGAAAACACAACGTGGAGTATCCTTATCATTGCGACATATGCAAATTTCGTTTTCCTTGCCCGCCATCACTAACCGTCCACAAGAGAACGCACATCTCGAGCTCACCGGAAATGACACAAAGTCAACACGCAGGTGAGAGACCATTCACATGTGAGGGCACAACCCCGGGCAGTGAACAGGCATTTTCAACGTCCTCGTATCTCAAAATCCACATCCGAACACCCACCGGGGAGTATCACTGGAATCTTTATTCTACTCTCAATCACAGCCTCTCAAATTTAGCCCAGATTACCACGTCTCACCCACCTTCAGCTGGTGGCAGACTAATACAGCACACCATCACCCTGACACACATATCCCATCGAGCATGACTTGCCACATTTGCAAAGTCTATCTTGCACGACCACCAACACCTATGGTTAAACTTCACACCTACATCCCTAACCATTACTTCAAAGTACTCTTTCTCACCTGTATCTATCAGGCAGCTCTTACACTGCACAACTCCAGCACCACTAACTGAGATATATTCCCCCATGCACCTCAACATCGTATCTCATTACCATCAACTTCCTATTAAATCGTACCACCACCCAGATTCCTGCATATTCACTGCAACCGCTGTTCAGAACCTCTGCATTTTGTTCCTGTTTCAACGTGTGTATCTAGGCTTTGCCATGGACAACAGCAAGGCAGGCGAGATGAGCCATTTTACCTTTGATCAATTCAGTCAGAGTGGTGTAGTGTCAAACCCCTACGCTCACAACGCTTTGGTTCCACAAGACCAATCACGCAGCGCACCGACACCATTCTCCTCCCTTCAAAGTTCGGCGGCACCAAATCTTCAGCTTCAGGATCACCAGCACTATGACAACTTGTGTGATGGAGTACTTTTTCCGTCCTTGCCACACGTGTCCACGGGCGAGAGCTCCAATGTAAATACAGGACTCGTACATCATGATGTGTTGGCGACTTTGGGTGATAGTAATGTGATATCAGCACCACCACATAATTCCAGCTTACTTGCCATACCACCAAGCCAACACGACATCAGCAAGCCACGACCACAGAGTAGCGTACTTGGACAACAGCTATCAATGACAGAACGAGAAAATTCAGCGACGACATTCTCCTTCGACCAAAGTTCGGCGGCACTCATCCTTCCGCCTAGGCTAATGCCGAATAACCAGCACATATCCAACAGCTTGGGTGATGCTGCACTCTTTCCGTCCCCGCAACAAGTCATCACGGACGTGGGCTCATTTGCAAATATAGGATTCCCACATGATGTGTTTGCGCATTTGGATGACAGGAATGCGATGGCAGTGCCAAGGCAAGGACGACAACGTCTCCAGCCACATCATATTCCAAGTTTACCTGGAATGCCACAAAGTCGTCACGACCTCAAGGAGCCACTACCACAAAGCACCTTACTTGGTCAGCTACCGTCAATGAAAGACCCTGATAACTCAGTGATACCATTCCCCTTCCGACCACTCCTTGAGCCTAACCTACCCTACAGCTTGGGTGATGCAACAATCTCGCCGTTCTCGTCACAAGTCTCTACCGGCACGGGATGCATTGCAAATACAGGATTACCTCATGATGTGTTTGCCTCTTCGAGTGGCAGTAATGTGTTGCTATCACCATCACTGTCAAAAGACCCGCAACGAGAACAACAACATCTCCATACGCCGCAAATCCCGAGCTTACCGGAAATGCCACCACATCAACACGACCTCAACGAGCCACTACCACAGAGTAAGTTACTTGGACAGCAGCCGTCGACTAAAGAACCTGCAAAATCTGCCAAAGCCAAACGAGTCTGCCCGGAATGCAAAAAGAGTTTCTCATATCCGTCGCAGCTCAAAACACACATGACAGTGCACACTGGCGAGAAGCCATATCCTTGCACAGAGTGTGGACAAGCCTTCACGCAGAAGCCTAATCTAACAGCGCACATCAGAAAACACACCGGGGAGAAGCCATATCATTGCGACAGATGCGACTCACATTTTTCTCAGCTATCGACACTAACCGTCCACAAGAGAATACACACAGGTGAGAAACCATATCAGTGTACAATCCCGGGCTGTGAACGGGCATTCTCACATGCCTCCACCTACAACCGCCATGTGCGTACCCACAAGGCGAATAGCGCGAAGCAAACCCAACCTGCCAGTGGATGAAAATAAACAGGCACTGCTCTATTGGACCAGCATCTCCAGTTCAAACACGACAATGACGGCAGGAGCACCAAATCAGAAGATAACAGCGCCAGGAAATGCGGTTATAGGGGTGTACGTTTTTGGAAACATGCTTTCTGTGTTGGCGTGCACTGTGTGGAATTTGAGCAATAGAATGATCTGACAAGTGTGTGTGTGTGTACATGTAGTATCCTGGCCTAAACTGCATTTGCTGCTGCACCCATCCTAACACCCTCCGCTATCAACACCCTCACGTCTTTGATTGATATATTGCAAAACTGTATGTACAGGGTATTATATTGGTTTCGGAATGATTTAATTCCCCCTGTCTCCTGCCTCGCGTATAGTTTGTAGTCGCATTCTTGGTTTGCCGAGTTTTGCTACAATGTTACCTTCTTGTTTTATGGCTTTTCTCTTTTGCTGTGTTTCCTGTTGCTACATGTTGCTGTTGTGTATGTGAAACATTTTAGTCGTTTATTCCATGTACCCGTTTTTGGATTTGTTAATTCAAAAAGGTAAACAAACAAAGAAACAAGGGAAAAGTGTGTTGCTCCCTACATGGGAGCTCGAGGTTTTCCTGCCGACTTGAATTCTCACTACAAACAATCAACATCAAAATATATTTGTGGAATGTCATCAAAGGGGGCAGGTGTTGTAGAACGATGTATTTCCTATCTCTATGATGATATTTCCCAAACTGCCAGCAATGGTCTTACACTGAGGAAGACAACATATCCAGTCGCCACATATTTCCAGGTTACTTGCCATACCAACAAGACGACAAGTACAAGTGGCGAGCACAAAGTAGCGAAAGTTCGTGCAAAGGTTCTCACTTCATGATGTAGAGCAAAGGTTTGCACGCATTTTCGTTCTTCAGAACCTCTCTAATCTAACCCAGCGTCATGTCGAGAGTAATACCTCAACTCTTCAGGTAGAAAACCGGAAAGGCTGGCAGATAACCATGCACGTGAGTGCTGACATACCCTTAAACAGGAGATGCGTTCAGCGATAATTGTGGCAAGAAGCAAGCGAACGACATCTCAAAGAGTATGATTATTATGATGGCTACCGCCCCCCCCTCCCAAAATAAAAAGCTACACAATGCTGCATGCACTAACGCATTCCACACGTGAATCTTTTTTCTACTTTAAATCACAGCCCTTCAATTTTTGCCCAGATTACCACTTCTCACCCGCTTTCAGCTGATGGCAGACTAATACAGCACACCCTGACACATATCCTATCGAGCATGACTTGCCACATTTGCAACGTCTATCGTCCACGAACACCAACACCTATGGTTAGACTTCACACCTACACCCCTAACAATTTCCCCTTTCTCACCTGTATCTATCCGCAGCACTAACACTGCATAACTCCAGAACCACTAACTGAGAGACATTCCCACCTGCACCTCAACATCGTATCTCATCACCATCAACTCCCTCTTAACTCGTACCACCACCCAGATTCATGCCTATTCACTGCATACGTTGTTCAGAACCTCCCCATTTTGTTTCTGCGTCACCTTGTGAGTTTTAGTCTTTGCCATGGACAATAGCAACGCAAGCAGGATGAGCCAGTTTACCTTTGATCAACTCAGTGAGAGTGGTGTAGCGTCAAACCCCTACACTCACGACGCTTTAGTTCCACAAGACAAATCACGCAGCGCATCGCCACCATTCTCCTACCTATCAAATTTGGTGACAGCAAATCTTCAACTTCTGGATCACGAGCATTATGACAACTTGTTTGATGGAGTACTTTTTCCCTTCTTGCCAGAAGTCTCTACGGGCATGGGCTCCAATGTGAACACACGACTCGTACATCATGATGCGTTTGCGCCTTTGGGTGATAGTAAGTTGACGGCAGCACCAGCGCCAGCAATAGCCTTACAGCCAAGACGACAGCATCTCCAGCCGCCAAATATTGCCGGCTTACTTGACTTGCCACCGAGTCCACACGACCTCAGCCAGTTACTACCACAGAGTAACGTATTCGGAAAGCAGCCGTCAATGAAAGAACCTGAAAACCCAGCGACAACATTCTCCTTCCACCAAGGTCAGACGGCACCGATTCTTCCGCATAGCCTAATGCCGGATTACCAGCATAATTCCAACAGCTTGAGTGATGGAACACTCTTTCCGCTCCCGCCACAATTTTCTAAAGGCGTCAGCTCATTTGGAAATATAGGATTCCCTCATGATGTGTTTGCGCCTACTGGTGACACAAATGCGATGGTCGTGTCAAGGCAAGGACGACAATATTATATTCCAAGTTTACCGGAAATGCCACCAAGTCGTCTTCACGACCTCAGTGAGCCACTTCCACAGAGCACGTTACTCGGGCAGCAGCCGTCAATGGAAGAACCTGATTACTCAGCGACACCATTCTCCTTACACCCAGGTCAGGCGGAACCACTCATTCAGCCTAGCCTACTCGACAGCTTGAGTGATGCAGCAATCTTTCCCTACCTGCCAAAAGTCTCTACCTCTATGCGCTCCGATGTAAATACAGGATTACATCATGATGTGTTTGCGACATCGCGTGGTAGTGATGTGTTGCTACCACCGTCACTAGCAAGAGGCCTACAACAGCAACAACAACGACAACAACATCACAAGCCACCACATATTCCCAGGCTGCAGGTAATGTCACCGCATCACCATGACCTCAGCGAGCCACTACCACCGAGTAACGTACTTGGACAGCAGCCGTCGAAAAAAGAACCTGAAAAATTTGCCAAAGCCAAACGAGCCTGCCAGGAATGCAAAAGGAGTTTCTCGTCATCGCTCAAAACACACATGACAGTGCACACTGGCAAGAAGCCATATCCTTGCACAGAGTGTGGACAAGCCTTCTCCCATAAGCGTAGTCTAATTGTGCACATCCGAAAACACACCGGGGTGAAGCCATATAATTGCGACAGATGCAACTCACGTTTTTATGAACAATCAGCACTAACCAGACACAAGAGAACACACACAGGTGAGAAACCGTACAAGTGCACTATCCCGGGCTGTGAACAGGCATTCTCAATGTCCTTCAACCGCAACCGGCATGTGCGTCGCCACAAGGCGAATATCGAGAAGCAAACCAAACCTGCCAGTGGATGCAACTAAACAGGCACTGCTCTATTGGACCAGCATCTCCAGTTGAAACACGACAATGTCGGTAGGAGCACCAAATCAGAAGATAACAGCGACAGGAAATGCGGTTATAGGGGTGTACGTTTTTGGAAACATGCTTTCTGTGTTGGCGTCCACTGTGTGGAATTTGAGCAATAGAATGATCTGACAAGTGTGTGTGTGTGTACAAGTAGTATTCTGGCCTAAACGGCATTTGCTGCTGCAGTCATCCTAACACCCCCCGCTATCTACACAGTCACGTCTTTGATTTATATATTGCAAACCAGTAAAAGGGTATTATAGCGGTTTTCGGAATTATTTAATTGCCCCCCGTCTCTTGTCTCGCGTATAGGTTTAGTCGCATTTTTGGATTGTCGAGTTTTGCCACAACGTTACCTTGTTGGTTTTTGGCTTTTCTCTTTTGCTGTGTTTCCTGTTGCTACGTGTTGCTGTTGTGTATGTGGAACGTTTTGGTCCTTTATTCCATGTACTCGTTTTGGATTTGTGAATTGAAATCAAGTAAACAAACAAAGAAACAGGGGAAGAGTGTGTTGCTCCCTACATGGCAGCTCACGGTTTTCCTGCCGACTTTAATTCTCACTACAAACAAACAACATCAAAATATATTTGTGGAATGTCAATAATGTCATCAAGGGGGGGGGGGGAGGGGCAGGAGTTTTAGAACAATGTACTTCCTCTCTGTATGATGATATTCCCCAAACTGTCTCTTGTTTCGCGTGCATGCGTGAGATGAGCATACGTAATTAGTGAGTCTTCAGTTTTGCCTTTTCAGTCTTCTTGTTCTCCCGTGGAAGTTTTTAAGATTGGCTTCGCAGTAAAAAGACAACTGTTGCTTGGGAAGCCCTGGGAGTGTTGTATGCAACCCACTACCTCGACCAGCATATACACCATCCAACACTCGGTGAAAACACGTTAGACCTAGGTCTCTCCGACTTCACTACCACCGTATCAACCAAGGTGCTTGTTCCCCTCGGCAGGTCCGATCATGCCATTTTGATATGCAACTTGAAAGCGGTCTCCGCACGCTGCGATCCAACAACCTCTCACAAGGTGTGGAAATACGACAGTGCTGACTGGAACAGTCTTAGGGCATTTTACCACGGTCACGACTGGCAGTCGATAATGTCAGACGATCCCACTCTGCTTCGCGAGCGATTGTATTTGCATTTGTATTTATATCATTATTATTTTTATGGCACATCATGATGACGGCCAGTAAAACTGTGACAAGGATGAAAGCCAACCGCAGCAGTAAAACAGATAAAAGAATGCAAATAAAAGGCAAAAGAGGCAAAGGAGGAGACAAACCAGCTGGATGTCATGCAAATACATGAAACCTATAATTGAGCAGAGAATTTAGCAACAAAATTATTCATCGACGTGCTGGTCTTGGCCTGCGTTGTTAATGTTGCGCAAAACACATAGCCAGTAAAGATCGGGGATCTAGTGGATAATAAAAGGCAAAGAAGGCAAAGGAGGAGACAAACCAGCAGGATGTCATGCAAATACATGAAACCTATAATTGAGCAGAGAATTTAGCAACAAAATTATTCATCGACGTGCTGGTCTTGGCCTGCGTTGTTAATGTTGCGCAAAACACATAGCCAGTAAAGATCGCGGATCTAGTGGATAGGGTGGAGGCAGCGCTTGGGAGACTGAATGAGTTCTGGGTGTTCCGTGTTTCGGAGAACCAATTATAAGCCTGCATATGCAAGGGTATTCTATTAAGTAATATGTTATGCATGAGAAGCAAGGCTAGTCCCATCCAAGGCATCTGGACCTAACTGTATTCCATCTCTGGTGTTGAAAGAGTGCTGTAAGGAACTTGCTGCTCCCATCACGTAACTGTTTAGTGCAGCCAGTGTGGTTTTACATGTTTTAGGCGTGGTCGGGGCACAGCTGGCCTTCTTACAGCACTCCAGAGCGAACGGGTGTGAGAGGGGGGAGGGACTGTATCCCAATATTAGCAATTGATATTGCCGGTGCGTTTGATGGCGTCTCTCACGTCGGCCTCCTCAACAAGCGAGTAGGCATCGGCGGACCTTTTCTCTCTTGGCTACGCGACAACATTATTATTATTCTTTTACACACACAACAGAGGCGAAAGGCTGTGCTAGCTGTAACTTAAAGTTTCACGCATCGGAGCGATCATCAGACAGCAGCATTCACTATCGAATTCTCTACGAGCAGGCCTAGATATTTGATGCTAGTGTGGAAGTTAGTGCATATGTGCGAAGTGAAGACGTGGCATTGGGACAATGGTATTGAGTTGTTTTGTGAGAGTTAACGGATATAGGTGAGATTAGAGGCGATCACAGGGCAGTGTTACCGAGTCATTAAAGGCGATAGTGACGGTAGCGCAAGACCACAGCAAGAGTGAAGAGGGAGAGAGAAAGCACCATGGCGCCAAACCTGGTTCAGGTTGCGCCATGTCGAAAAACTCACGTAACTGATGGTGAGAATCTGGACAGGTAATACTTGTTCTCGTGTCTGCATTTCGACACCAACTCCGACCTTTTGTTGATGTTGACCGTTTTGTCTGCTTCCAGGATCTCCAGTTTCTCAGCAAGGCATAGGGGACACCGCTTGGTCGCGTTCGAGTAGGCCTGGGCCTTGGTGACGACGGCCCATTTCACAGAGTGCGGAGTGTTCTACCGCTTGAGCTTCCATATGCACTTGGACAGCTCCGTGCTTTTTTCCATCCTCTCATGCCTCGTCGTGCTCATGTGATTGTTGTATCTCTGTTTAAAGGGTGGTTCTGTTAGGCCGAGGTACTCGTGCCGCTGCTCTCTTCCGGTGTGCTGGACTGTTGCCTTGTACACGATGCATCGTACTTGGCAGTCGCCGTCCATTGGGCAGGTGCATTTGTCTCGGCAGTTGCATCGTTTGTCGGGGACGTTCTTGTCCTGTGTTTGTCTCTTCCTTTGAACATGGTTGTTGTGGGATTTGACTATTGCGGACATATTTGGCATACATGAATAGCTAACTTTGACGTTGTTGCGGTTAAATATCTGGCGCAATCCGCAGCCGTGAGGAAAGTGTGTGTCGAGGAGTCGGAGGAATTTGTGTGCGATGTCTGTGGCTACGTTCTTGCTAAAGGGTGGGTTGTACCAAGTGATGTTGCGCCGCCTATTTTTCTTTCTTCGCCCTGTCAACTCCTTCCTCTCTTCCATGTACTCGACTCGTTCCACGTATCCACTCTCTCTGAGGGCATCGTTGTACGCTGGTGCCGATTCCTCAAATATGTGTCGGTCACTTGATATGCCTGTTAGTCGTCTGCTGATTGTCTTTGGCAATTGTTGGATGATTGCCGGTGGGTGATTGGAAAGTTGGTGGACATAGACGGGCTTGTTGTTCGGCTTCCGGTATGGTTGGTATTTCCCTGTTGACAAATCCAGTGTCACATCCAGGAAATCTACCGTCTTCATGCCAGCGCTGATGGTCAGTTTCAAACCGAGATTCGTGAAAATCTGGCATATGGTTTTTCTGGCGCGGTCTGCTGTACTGCCCGTCGCATCTCTGATCACCGCTAGTCCATCATCGCGGTACAATCCGATGTCTGCGCTGTCGAACTCCTCCGATAGCTTTGACAGGGCATATGTGCCGACCAGTTCGCAGACTTCTGCACCGTCGAAGCAGCCCATGGTCACGTCGAAAAGTCCTCTCCCGTCTTTCTTCATCCACTCCCGATCCCTGTTGAAAAGCAGGGACTTCCGCGAGTGCATGACGATTTCCTTATCGTGCTGCGTAATGTCCGTGTACTGTGTGGCGAAAGTGAGCGCTTGTCCGAGTAGGTCCTCGGATATGGATGGGTCATGGGTCACGGATGACCGCGATTGGCTCATATGTTGTAGTCTTTTGGACGCTGAGTCGACTGGTTTTGGTCCGAAAAGGCTGTGATGCAGCGTTCCTCCTTTATTCCCAATCGAACATGGTTGAACAAGCGGTCACGTGCTCCTGCGTACACCAGTCACCTGGTCACCGTGCCTACAGGGTACAACTTACTAGCCTGTTTGACCTTTTTTGGGTGCAGTCCTGGCACTCGAGTTGAACTCGAGTTGAACGTTGGTGTGAAAGTTGTCGCCTGTTGGCGCGGTGACCAGGTGATTTGGGCACCCAGGAGCACGTGACCGCTTGTTCAACCATGTTCGATTGGGAATAAAGGAGGAACGCTGCATCGCAGCCTTTTCGGACCAAAACCAGTCGACTCAGCGTCCAAAAGACTACAACATATGGGCCAATCGCGGTCATCCGTGCTTTTATAAGAACGAAATGGCGCTTTTAGTGACATTTTGCATACAAATCCCCATCTAGTAGGGCGCAGTCACCCAGTTTCGGTGGAAGTGCGCGAGTTCGATTGGGATTCAAGTAGGAAGGGAGCGTCGCAGCTTCCTCGGACTAAGACCATTCGACTCAGCACCCCGAAGACTACAACTGGTGAAAATTTGATTTTAGGGTATACTTCCCCTTTAAGGTGGCAGACTACCCAAAAATTCACTGAAAAATCGAATTTGTAAATTCATATTGAGTGCTACGTCAGTTGAAAGAGCATGAATAGCTGCAAATTCTCTGAAAATTGTGTCCCGATCTGACCGGCCGTTCAAGAGTTATGGCCGAAAATGTGCCCTTGCAAGGAAAGATTTTTTTGTTGCACGCTGTCATTTGTTGGCAGCACTGTATTTGAATGTGAGCAGACCGTGCGCAACTTGTCGTATCATGGAAACACGTGAAAGTGTGCAGAATTTTGCTCCAAGTCCAAAAAATCAGGTTTTTGAGCCACGTATTGGGCTGCACGGCGGCGGGCGAAGGCGAAGCCCGCCGCCGTGCAGCAGGACTTTTGCCAGCACCCTCGTGACGTTGCAGATATGTGGCTTGATTATTGTAGTTGACGTTGATTTAGTGACTTTGGCAAGTTTGAGTCGTGTCAAGAAGTCAGGTAGGATTCAGTACTAGGCAGTATTGAAACGTGAGTGGTAGTCTTTGCCGGTTTCTGAGGGTATCCTGGATTTGGTGTGCAGCGCTGTGGAAATGGCTTGCTGTGGAGGTCCCAGCACTGGATGTTGTATCAAAGGTACGACCTCGTAGCACGTGCTAAACCTAAAAAAATTCAAAAATTGACTTGGGTCTGTGGGAGTGTGGGAGAGAACGCCCACTCGTTCCGTTGTGACAGATTCCAGGGCCTCGTTGAGGCGCCCTACCCCATCACCCATGGCTGCTTCTGGACTTGTTCTAGGTTTGAGTCCCGCGCACGAACAGAATGAGCACGAAAATGTGAAAAAATTGTAAATGCATTTGTTTGGCTCCTGGGTGGCTCGCACGCCGTGGCACTATGCCGGAAAATTGAGTTTTTCCGGCCTGGAAAGCCTGTCAGTGAGGCGCAAGAACTTGTAAATCATGTCCTGACGGCCAGCATAGTGGCAGGAGTGTGTGGTCAACATTTCACTCAAATCCATTGAGAAACACCAAAGTTACGGTCAATTGAATGCCATATGAAATTTATGGGTAGGCTGCCCCCTTAACAGGGAGGCAAGAAGCAATGGATCATGAAAAACAAGCGGGGGCAATAACGTTAGCAGGGGTGATCGATATAGTTAAGTACACGTTCTAGGTATCAGAAACCAGGGGGATGCGCGGACCAGGAACAGGTACTGCTCAAAAGAAGACTGGATGCATTGTTTCGGAAAGAATTTCTACGAGGTTGGGTTGTGATGTCGATAGGGAGTGAGTTGTAGAGGCCAGGGTGAGGGAACTGTTGATGGGGGAATCTCGGTGCCTGTTCGGGTGTGCGTGTCCGATGGAGGGGATGGGGGAATCTCGGTGCCTGTTCGTGTGTGCGTGTCCGATGGAGGAGGAACATGTACTACTGATCCACGGCAGAAGCTCACATCCTCCACCTGAGCATTGTCTGTGGTTCGACTGTTATTGCCCCGCCTGACGAAGGTAAGTACCTGGTATTGACTGTCGACTCAACTTTTAAAAGTTTCAGTGCCCACGTGAATTCCCTCAGGGAACATATCGGAAAGAAACTAGGTGCTTTTCAACGTGGAAGGAAGAACCTTGCTGTTCAGGCCAGAAAGCAGTTCTACTTGTCAGTAGTCCAGAGCAAGCTCGAGTACGCGAGCACTGCCTAAGTACACTGTCTCGCTGACAACGTGAGAGTTCAGCTGCCATGCATAAGTAAAAGAGCACTTAGATGCATATTTGAGCATGACACATTCACGCGCACATCATACTTGCTTGAGAGGTACCACATAATTAGCTTAGACACAAAATATCATACTAAGTCCATATTGTTCGTGTTCCGATGCATCCACAATATCAGCAGTTTACTCCTCTCTGACATGTTCTCCCTTCGCCGTGACTGCGCTCACACAGATAGAGTCACCCGCGGCCAAATCAATAATTCCCTTTCTTTATCCATTTATGCAAACTCAAGCTGGATACAAATCTATTTCATTCCTTGGTGCTGACCGCTTTAATGCGCTTCCCGAATCCCTCATACTCGCTCTTTGGTGTGGCACTCGGTTGCTCCTTGGCATAATTCCCACCGAACGCAGGACTTTTTTTGGGTTTTGGCAGCGTTGACATGCTTCTGTGCTGGCCGGGTGTGCAATTGTCTACCAGTCGAGCTCACGTTTTTCTCTCGACATTATGTTAGGTGGCATCAGGCTTCATAAACTGTGAACCTGTGGGTGCATTTTCGTTTAGCTATTGTTGAAACTTGAGTGCCTGTCGTACTTGACCATAGACTTTGCCGAAGATGTAGGGTATTCTGAACAATGGTTGTTTTCCTTTCGTTGTTGGGCTGTATTTCTTACACGGGCTAGTAACTTTGCAGGCCTTACCCACCAATTTCTGTGCACTCTTCTCTTGTGCTAGTGTGTGCCCGTTGTCGACGACTGCCATCTTGACTGTCATGGGATCATGGTGGAAATGTTGCTGCTGCTTATTGTTATTCCTTTTGAGCTACTTTTACAAAGACCTTGACTTTGATTTCACTGTCAGGAAAGTATTTTTTATCTATTTTTGAAGATTGGCAAGAAACCCACAACAACAAACGAAAACCAAGTTTTCCATTCCCTCAACTTATGAAAATCAAAATCGTACATGTACTTGGTTCGTGGGTATTTGTGGTTGAATACATTTCTCATATAAGAATTTTTTCTCGTTGCCACAACTGATAAGGTGGCTTACCATTGGACGACAAATCGGAACTATATTAGCCGCCATCATTATGGACAGCTTGAAAATCGACATAGTATCTACTGAGACGCTTTCGTTCGCTATGCGGACGAAACTGTAACTGCTTTGGAAATACCAGAGGAAGTGGAATCCTTATTGTGAGAATTAAACAGCAAAGGCCCAACAATCAAGTTCGAACCTCAGTAATCGAACCAAGTTGGTGTTTTGTGTCTGAGCTATGTACCACGGACCAGCTCGTCGCTTGGCTTCCTGCATCGAGCTACAAGTAGGTCGTACCTCACAACCTTGTGTTACCACCACAAAAAAAACGCACCAAGTTTCGCTTGTCGGAGGTAGCACCTCCAAAGAATTCGTACCCAAGTTGAGCCATAAACAAAGTTTAGCAGCTCTTAGCCACTGTTACAGTCAATATACAGGGTTCTGGTCGGTGGCTTGAGTTGCCGTAAAAGCTAGGGAGTTGATCGTTATGAGACGCGGTTGTAAGTTACAGGTGAGATTATCTCTCAGTTTGTGCTGCTGGAGGTGTGAAGGGTACGTGCTGGGGATCAATACGGGTGAGAAAACGTAACTGGTCAAAGACAAAGTGCAGACTGGCAATTGTGGTTTGCGTGGAAGGTAGAAGTGGAAACAGTTGCAAATCGTGCTCGATAGGATAAGAGTATCAGGTTGATAGTGTACTGTACCAGTCTACGATCATGTAAAGGTAAGTGAGCAGTTTTGATCAGATGAAAAATGGAAATGCTGTGATTGAAAGACTTACTATAGTAAAGATTAGCGTATACAAGGAGAGGTGTGCGTGAACTGTTGGTTAATTGTTTGGGGAGGGATGCTAGGTGAACTGACGCGCCGGATCCGCGAGGCCCGGCTACTTGAAGTATGTGATTCGCAGAAGGAAACCAATGATCAGTCGAAGAAAGATTGACAGGAAACCTGATTCTTGAAGTAGCCTACGCCAACACAACACACCCACAGGGCATGCACACCTCTCCATGCACACGTTGATGTCTATTCTAATTTCCACAGCTTCTCGAATTTAGTCCAGATCACCACTTCTCACCTGCCTTAAACACCACGCCAGACTAAAACAAACGAACATAAACCTATCACCCTCACCCTATCGACCATATCTCACACCATTTGCCACGTCTATCATCCACGCACATCAACACCTATTTCTAATCTACACCCCATACACCCTACAATTTACTCTTTTCACCTGTACGTACCCTGCGCAACTCCAGCAACACTAACTGAGAGATATTCCCACCTTCACCTCTACATCGTATCTCATCACCATCAACTCCCCATTAACTCGTACCATCACCCTGCATATTCACTGCAACCGTCCTTTAGAATATCTCAATTTTGTTTATGATGAACTAGTGTACTTAGGCTTTGTCATAGACAATAGCAACTCAGACTGGATGAGCCATCTTTCCTTTGATCGACGCGCTGGTGGAGCGTCAAAGCCCCACACTCAAAACGCTTTCGTTCCCCAAGACCAATCACGCAGCACGCCGACACCATTCTCCTTCTTCCAAAGTTCACCAGCTCCAAATCCTCAACTTAAAGGTCACCAGCACTATGAAGACTTGAGAGATGGAGTACTTTTACCGTCCTTGCCAGAACTCTCTACAGGCATAGGATCCAATGTAAGTGCAGAACTCGTACATCATGATGTGTTGGCGACTTTCGATGATAGTCATGTGATATCAGCATCAGCGCTAGCAATGGCCTTACAGAGAGGAAGACAACATCTCCAGCCGCCACATATTCCTAACTTACTTGACATGCTACCAAGTCCACACGACCTCAGTCAGTCACTACCATGGAGTAACGTACTTGGACAGCAGTCGTCAATGAAAGAACCAGCGAAATCAGCCAAAGCCAAGCCAGTCTGCCTAGAATGCAAAAAGAGTTTCTCAACACGGTCACCTTTCAAACACACATGACAGTGAACACTGTTGAGAAGCCATATCGTTGCCCAGAGTGTGGACAGGCCTTCAAACACAAGTGGCAATTAACTGTGCACATACGAAAACACAACGGAGAGAAGCCGTATCATTGCGACAGATGCAACTCACGTTTTTATAACCAATCAGCACTAACAAAACACAAGAAAATACACACAGGTGAGAAACCATGTCAGTGTACAATCCCGAACTGTCGACAGGGGTTCTCACAATCCTCCGCCAGCAACCTGCATGTGCGTCGCCACAAGGCGAATATCAAGAAGCAAGCCAAACCTGTCAGTGTATGCAACTGAACAGACACTGCTCCTTTGAACCAGCATCTACGGTTCAAACAGGACAATGTCAGCCAGAGCACCAAATCAGAAGATAACAGCGCCAGGAAATGCGGTTATAGGGGTGTACGTTTGTGGAAACATGATTTTTGTGCCAGCGTGCACTGTGTTGAATTTGAGCAATAGAATGATCTGACAAGTGTGTGTGTGTGCATGTATTATCCTGGCCTAAACTGCATTTGCTGCTGCAGCCATCTTAACACCCTCCGCTATCAACACAGTCACGTCTTAGATTTTTATATTGCAAAACAGCATATGTACAGGGTATTATATTAGTTTTCGGAATGATTTAATTCCCCCATGTCCCTTGTCTCGCGTATAGTTTTTAGTCGCATTTTTGGTTTGTCGAGTTTTGCTACAATGTCCGATTGTTGGTTTATGGCTTTTCTCTTTTGCTGTGTTTCCTGTTGCTACGGGTTGCTGTTGTGTATGTGAAACGTTTTGGTCGTTTATTCCATGTACTCGTTTTGGATTTGTGAATTCAAATAAAGTAAACAAACAAAGAAACAGGGGATGAGTGTGTTGCTCCCTACATGGGAAGCTCGCGGTTTCCCTCCCGACTTGAATTCTCACTACAAACAAACAACATCTAAATATATTTATGGAATGTCATAATTAAAGGGGGGGGCAGGTGTTGTAGAACAATGTATCTCCTTTCTGTATGATGATATTCCTCAAACTGTCTCTTGTCTCGCGTGGATGCGTGAGATGAGCAGACGTAAGTAGTGAGTCTTCAGTCTTGCATTTTCAGTCTTCTTGTTCTCTCGTGGTAGTTGTTAAGAGTGGCTTCGTAATAGTGTTACCTGCTGTTCACACTCCTATCCCCTCTATCCACGGCCCTTCGGCCAATCACCTACCATCCCGCCTATCTAGTTGACACCTTTACATCATATAACCCTGTGCAGTACGAATAAATATCATTCTTTTCCTCAACCCGCAGTAGCCGGTTACACTGGTAGCAGAGGATGGTTTCCATCGACCTGACTACTAGCCTTCCGCTCCTGCTGACTGTCATCGCCGTGACAGCGTACCTGGCTGCGACGACTCATGGCCGCCATCACCCAAAAAAATCACCGTTCGCGTCAGACTCGGTTTATCTATATAGAGGCCGAGTTTTCCGCATCCGTAGGAACGCCACCACCCTTCATGGATCAAGGCGCAGATGCAGCTCCTAAAGCGGTGGGCGTTATATTGCTTTAGAAAGATGTATTGGTTTTCTGAATGATGGCATTACCCATGTCTCTTGCCTCGCGTATAGTACTTTACCGTAGTCGCATTTTGGGTTTGCAGAGTTTTGATTTCTACTTGTTTTGCTAGTTCGTTTGTGGCTTTTCCATTTTCTGTGTATCCTTTTGCTACATGTTGCTATTGTGCATGCGGAACGTGGTGTTGGTTTATTCCATGTACTGATTTTGATTTTGTAGAATGTCATCAAGGGGCAGGTGTTGTAAAACGATGGCATTGTATTTCTTTTTTGTATGATGATATTCCCCAAACTGTCTCTTGTTTCGCGTACATGCGTGAGATGACCATACGTAATTAGTGAGTTTTCAGTCTTGCCTTTTCAGTCTTCTTGTTCTTCCGTCAAAGTTGTTGTCCTAGCTTTCACGTTGTGTCGCTCATGGAGGTGCTGGACAATCGCTTAGAACCGTTGGTGCGACACTGACTCGCGCTGCACTCTGGTGTTCACGAGGTTTTGTCACGCTGGAACTGGAGCGTCTCCGTGAGTTTGTATCCCTGCTGATGTTTGTGCTTGGAGGGCAATATAATTGGTGCTCTTCAGGCACAATCTTCCTCAGCCTACTCAAGCTCAACTGATAAGGGGTGAAGTGGTCAAATCCCCTTAAGCCAGACTCCGTATACGAACTCCCCGACTACTCCCTTTATAGGCACGATTGGCAGCACTGTAGAGGCGGAGGAGTCGCCGTGTATGTTCACTCTTCCATCCCACACAAACAGAAAACAATCATCACGATGAACAACTTCGAAAAGCTTCGGCTTGAATTTGTTCTATCGAATGTATCACTTACAGTTGGAAGCTCCTACCTTCCTCCAAACACAGATCCGTACACATTCTGCCGACAACTGGAGCCCTGTCTAGGTCTGTGCTATATCAACTCTCCGTTTCTATTGGTAGGAGGCATGAACGCAAAACACACCTCATGGCTTCCCGCTGATAGAGCTGGCGACCTACTGGACACTGCAGGATTAAACCGGCCTACTAGGCCAGGCAAACCGCAGCCGCCGCGGTCAGCGGAGATTTTCTGTTCTTGGTGCTCTGCTGTGGAACGCTCTCCCTGGTGAGGTCCGCACAATTACCCGGCTACCTGAGTTTAAGCATGCATGTGTACCATACGCCTGTAGGGAGTACTAGTTCGAATTGCTGCTGATAGCTCTGCTCTCCCTCCCCTTGCAGTTCAGTAATCCTCACGTACCATCACACATACATTGTATTCTCTCTCTCTCTCTCTTCCCCCCCCCCCGTTTACTCACAGTTATTAGTATCCTATTCTCTTACTATGTGCTTCCACAGCCTTTACTAGGCTAAGCCTTCGCCGTCATTTTATTGGGTCGTCATCCCGTTTGAATGTGCGAAGTGAAATGAAAACCAACCAACCAAACCAGCCGACCTGTATTTCCAGAGGCAATTTGAAGTCCTGCCTCGACGTAGTCATCTCCACTGTGACGTACCAGAAGAAGACCTATCTGTCACATCATATAATCCTGTCGGAGCGTCAGATCATGTACTCGTCGGAGGACATGTGTCCATTGCATGCACACCACAAGCACCAACACCCCAGCAACACGTCGAAACTTGGCGCTGGAACTGGGACCCTGATCGCGTCGTCGCACTGAAAGGAGCCCTGGGCTCAATGCAGCTTTTGCCACCAGCTGAGGAAATTCCGCAGTTATCAATGTCAGACCTCTGGTCGCATTGGCATCACTCGCTTACCAACACAGCATACTTGTACTGTACTAACTTCGCACCTCGACGTAAACACCAGTCTCGCCCAGGTCGGCGACCATGGATGACTCACAGCTTCTTTGCAGCATTGAACTCAAGTATCAGCTCTACCGTCATGATCAGTATCTCAGAACTCAAACTTTTAAAGCGCTGAGAACTGGATCGCGTTCGTTACTCAACGCAATAGGACCACTACACAGCTGTGAGAAGCTAAATCCGCCTTTGTATCCGCTCCCGCGCAAGGCGACGTAACTGGTGTGCAGGAGCGAAACCTGTGTAAGTTAATGACGTCACTGCGGTCGTCCCCGTTCAAGGACCCTCCACCTAATGTCGTGGACATGGAAATCCAGTCGCACGTCTAGCGGTCCCAGGGCGCTGGCCATGCAGCCATGGATAAGCGGTACGCACATGTTTTTATGCGCTACAGCGCGCTGGTACGTGGTCGCATCGGATCTGCAGTACACAGTGCATGTATTTTAGCAAACGAAACAGTGGCTAGATCGGATGAAGAAAAGGCGGAAGCGTTTAATAATCTTTTTTCATTTCTGAAAGCCAGAAGTGCGTCACCGGACCAACAAAACTAAAGCCGTACCAGAGATAGGCGTGTCGCGCATCATGGGAAGTGAACTGAAGGAAATCATCACCACCCTGAAGGAGGTCAGAAAACTCCTTTCCGTACTTGATTTCCGGAAGTCGGCTGGGTACGATGGCATCCCGACGAAATTGATTGAGATCACTGCAGAGGAAATATTGTGCACCCTCGCAACGCTTTTCAATGAGTCCTCCTCGCGACGCGAGCAGCCGCAGGACTGGGGCAACGCCACTATCAGTCCTCTACACAAGAAAGCCTTTCGTGCAGAGATAACCAACTAAAGGCCAATAACGCTCCTGAGCGTTGTCAGCAAGGTTAAGGAGAGGATTGTTCACCAACGCCCACATTGAGCCCCACCTACCCGCCGACTAATCTGGTTTTCGATCTAAGGATAGCACTGAAATACAGCTCTCCTGCCTAGTGCATGAGATTTCCGGCAGCCGAGACATTGTGTCAGCATGCGTCTTTGACTTATCAAAGGCCTTTGACGGAGTTTGGCATGCTGGCCTCCTGGCCAAACTCAAGCAAACTTGGTGTCCGTGGCATTGCCCATAGCGGGCTCACAAGCTACCTGACTCGCCGCCGACAACGCGTCAAGGTTGGCTCCGCCTTTTCATAATGGAAATCCATTCCAGCTGGAGTACCCCAGGGCTCTGTTCTGGGGCACCTTCTTTTCCTGGTGTACACGATCGACCTCCCCCCAGCATGTACAAACTCGCACTCCAAATGCACCCAGTTTGCCGATGACACGGCACTCATCGCGACACATTACACGAGGGATTTATCAGCTGCATTCCTCCAACGTGCCGTGGACACAGCCGGACGATGGTTGAAGGATTGACATCTCCTCGTCAACATCACGAAAATCGTCGTCCTTTCCTTTCAACCACAACATATCATCCACATCACGCTCCAATCGACTCTGTTGCAGCAGGTCCAATAACATAGGCACCTTGGCGTTACACTCCAAGACGATATGCGATGGACCCAACACATCATATAAATTACCAACAAAGCCAAAAAACTACTACACCAACTCCACAAGACACGTGGCACAATGAACGCTTCCAGCCTAATATTAATATACACGACCTACATCCACACCGTTCTCGAATATGGCAGCCTTGGTGTTTGTACTCAGTGCGCAGCATTTGGGTATGTTACACTTTGTGATGTCAAACCTGCATGGACGCGATCCATACATTTCTCCATTAAAAGGCCTGCGCTTAAACTGGAGACTGCGCTTGTTTATCTTTAAAGCCCTCTTGGAATGCGCTTATAAAAAGACTGGGCTTCTCCAAGAGGCTGCGCTTGTAATAGAGATAATTATGTTATTTCTCAATAAGGATTCTGCTATATCTGGTTTCCACAGCAGAAAGGGTGAATGGCAATGGGAAGCCAACTACATTAGCTGCCATCAACATGGACAGCTTCAAAATCGACACAGTATCTACTGAGACGTTTTCGTTCGCTACGCGGATGACTTTGTAACTGCTGTGGAAATACCAGAGGAAACTGAATCCTTATTGTTAAAGATAAACAGCAAACGCATTTCAGTAATCATACGAAGATCTTGTCTTGTAGCTGTAGTTTCGTGTAGTGTACTTATCCCTGGTCATATCATTATTTTAAAATTAAATATTATTTAATTTATTATTCTATCAAAGTACTCAGAAAGAAAAGAGAAAACCAGAGCCGTTCACGATGCTTGAATCTCCAATAGCCAAATAGACAATTAACTACAAATTCGCAGTTTGCAAAGCCACATGCCACCTAACTTTATGTAAAGAGATTAACGCGGGCTCGCAGCTCATGCAATAACATTGATCGACACTGACGGACGGTACTGACGTTCCACAACTAACTGGCTGTCAGCTCTAGCGCAACTTGGATGCGCACTCCAACAGCCTGCCAAATTGGAAGGTTCTAAGGTATTATGATAACTAAGGCGGGGAAGGTGGTGTTAGTGGACATAATGGCGTAGCTCGTAGTTCCTTGGTCCCTTTTTCTTTTCTATAAAGTTATCCTTGGCTCTGAATCTCGGTCCATTCTAACACTGCCACAGTGCATGCATACCTCTCCCCTTGCACCCGCTAATTTCTATTATACTGGACAGCTTCTCAGTTTTAGCCCAAGTCACGACTTCTCCTGACATCCTTACCCTATCTACCATGACTTGCTACATTTGCCACTTTTTGTCTTCCACGCACACCAACACCTATTTCCAGTCTGCACTTAACTCCTTTTGATCGGTTTTCCTGGCCTCTTTGTAGTTGTACATTGTACTGTTGAGCCAGTGAAGTAAAATAAATTCAATACAATACAATACAGTACACTCTGATCATTTCCCTTTTCTCACCTGCATCGATCCGCAACACTTACCCTGCACTACTCCACGCGGCACCATTGACTGTTTGATATTTCCACCTTCACAGTATCACCTTTTCTTAGCACCATCAACTCCCTATTAACTCAAGCCACTACAAAGAATTCTGCATATTCACTGCAACTAGCGTTCAGAACCTCTTGATTTTGGTTATATTCCGACTTCGGTGCGTAATCTTTGCCATGGACAATAGCAGTGCAGGCAGGAATAGCCATCCTTCCTTTGATCAACCCAGTCAGAGCGATGAAGCAGCAACCAGTTACACTCACAACGCTTCGGTTCAACATGACCAATCACACAGCTCAGAGACACTCCAAAGATCGGCGACTCAAAATGTCCAGCTTAACCAAATTCCGGATCATCAGCCCGATGCCAACAGCTTGAGTGAGGCAGCGAACGTTCCGTCCTTGCCACAAGTCACCACCGGCATGGGCTCCGTTGTAAATACAGGACAAGATCACGATGTATTTGCACGTTCGGGTGGTAGTAATGCGTTCATATCACCCGTACTAGCAAGGGCTCTACAACGAGAACAACAACATGCCCAACAGTCGCGCATCTCGAGCTCACCGCAAATGCCACCAAGTCAACACGCAGGTGACAAGCCATACAATTTCCAACGTCATGGAAACTCAAAATCCACATCCGAAAACACAACGGGGAGTATCCTTATCATTGCGACATATGCAAAAAACATTTTCTTACCTCATCAGATCTAACCGTTCACAAGAGAACACACACAGGTGAGAAGGCATATAAGTGCAAAATCGCGGGCTGTGAACAGGCATTTTCAACGTCATGGAATCTCAAAAGCCACATCCGAAGACACACCGGGGAGTATCTATACCATTGCGACATATGCAAAAAACGTTTTTTTACCTCATCAGAACTAACCGTCCACAAGAGAAGAACACACACAGGTGAGAAACCATATCAGTGTACAATCCGGGGCTGTGAACAGGCATTTCCAACGTCATGGAATCTCAAAATCCACATCCGAAAACACACTGGGGAGTATCCTTATCATTGCGATATATGCAAAAAACGTTTTCTTACCTCATCAGTTCTAGCCGCCCACAAGCGAACACACACAGGTGAGAAACCATATAAGTGCACAATCCCGGGCTGTGAACAGGCATTCGCACAGTCCTCCACCCGCGACAGCCACATAGCGGCGCACACTGGGGAGAAACCTTATCGTTGCGACAAATGCAGGTCATGTTTTTCTCAGCTATCGACACTAACCCAACACAAGAGAACACATACAGGTGAGAAACCATATCAGTGCACAAACCCGGGCTGTGAACAGGCATTCGCACAGGCCTGCACCCGCGACAGACACATAGCGACGCACACTGGGGAGAAACCTTATCGTTGCGACAAATGCAGCTCACGTTTTTCTCAGCTATCGACACTAACCCGACACAAGAGAACACATACAGGTGAGAAACCATATCAGTGCACAAACCCGGGCTGTGAACAGGCATTCGCACAGGCCTGCACCCGCGACAGCCACATAGCGACGCACACTGGGGAGAAACCTTATCGTTGCGACAAATGCAGCTCACGTTTTTCTCAGCTATCGACACTAACCCGACACAAGAGAACACATACAGGTTATTATTATTATTTTATATTATTATATATATTTGAGGATTTCCCAAAGACGTAGTCTAAATTGAAGGGAGTTCCATTATAATGGGAGGCTGTAGGGTTGAGATAGCAGACAGTGGAGGGCTAATAATTCGTAATGAACAGCCTAGCAAGAGAAATACAATTATGCTGAATGTTCCAGAATGGTCCTTTAATCAATGATACCTATAGCCTCGGGATATGCCTTGAAATACGAAATGTACCGAAACAGAAACACAAAAATTAATAAGAATAAGCGCAACGCACAAAGAAGGAGGACAGAGGCATGTCAGTGAGGAGTGGCACTGTGTTTGGTGTCAGAGAAGTGCGTGCAAATGTGACTGTGAAACAGGGACTGCGAGGCTGTGGCTCTCAGGTCTGCGGGCAAGGCATTCCAGACAGTAGCGGTGCGGAAGAGAAATGACCTCCCGGCGTGTTTCCCAACCCGTGGCAGAGTGAATGCGAGTTGGCGGCGGCGACTACGCGTGGGGCAGTATCCCGCTGCTTCAAAAAGTTCTGGTTGGGTGGTGACCAAATGGAAGAATTCCATAAGGCAGGCGATCTTCCTGCGCCAGGATAGACTTGGCCACCCCAGCTGTTTAAACAATGATGACTTGGGCTCGTCTGATGGGCAAGGGCATCTCTCAAGCCGCATGACTGTGCGAGCTACTCTGGCTTGCAGCCGTTCAAGGGTGAGCCGCTGTGCAGCAGAGAGGGAGGACTCCCATACTGGGGCGGCGTATTCTGCTGTGGGGCGGACATACGTAAGGTACAGCTTCCTGACGATGTCTCCTGTTAAACGGTCAGCCATATGGCACAGAAGAACGCAGCGCTGTCTAAACTTGCTTATTGTCTGTTCAATATGCTCCTGGAAGCTAAGTGTTTCACTCAACAACACGCCCAGGTGACGGTGACTGGTTGACGGCTGGATACCGCGGATGGTCTCTGCAGCTCCTTCCTCAGCGAATGAGATAACAACGGTTTTCGATGGGTTGAAGGTTCCGCCTACTCGGTCGGCCCAGGCAAATGTGTCCTGCAGGGCAGTCTCCATTGGGCTGGTACCTTTGGTTCGTGCTTGGCCGACGGCGGTGTCATCCGCGAACAGGTAAACATCAGCGTGCTGGTTGCGTTTCGAGGCACTGGGTAGGCTGTTGATATGTACCAGGAAAAGCAATGGCCCGAGGTGGGAACCCTGGGGTACTCCAGACTTGACGGGACGTGGGGAGGACAGATGGTGTTGGACGCGGACGCTGAATGTTCGCGTATCGAGGTAGTTCTTAAACCAACTCGTAGCCGGAGCATCGCAGATAGTCCCGAGTTGCTGGAGAAGCACGTCATGCGGCACTTTATCGAAGGCCTTCGCAAAATCGAGAAATGCAGCATCGTAAGGGATGCGTTTATCCATGGTCGAGGCGATCTTAGTAGTGAGCTGTATCAGCTGGTCAACTGTGGAGCGATCACGGACAAAGCCGAACTGTTCCGGGACAATGATGTTGTTGACCTCGAGATAGTGACCGAATTTGGTGGCGACAATCTTGTCTAGTGCTTTCGCAATAGCTGGGAGTAGGGTTATAGGGCGGTAGTTGGAGGGATCACACGGGTTACCTTTATTTTTAAATATGGGGATTACTGTTCCCAGCTTCCAGGCACTAGGAAACTCACCTAAGGTGAGGCTAGCGTTAAACAGGTTGGTAACAGAGGATGTTATACATGGTGCGATCTCTCGGAGGATCCTGTTCGAGATGTTCCCGCCAGTTGCCTTATGCTGCGGGAGCCTTCGGAGCACCCGGTACACTGAGGATTCGGCCAAGACTGGCAGAGAGAATAATTCATTCGGACAGTTGTCGGCTGGTGCTGGTATTGGACCTGTACCGTGAGCAGGAGTGCACTGGCGCTCAAATACCTTCGCGAGCATTTCTGCTTTCTCTGGTTCACTCTGTGCCGTGTAGCCCTCACACGTTAGGTCAGGAACTTTATCTTTCTTACAGGAGATGTTGGCAAGTGTCTTGGCTTTCTTCCACCAAAGGTGGGCATCTTGCTCATCGTGAATATTCTCACTGAGGCGCTTGAAGTACAGGGTCTTGGCATTTCTTAACTGGTTCTGATATGCATTCCTCTGGGCCTTGTAGGTTAACCAGTATGCTACTGTTTGGTGGCGCTTGGCGGCACGGAAAAGGCGCTGCTTCTGGCGATGAAGGTGATGCAGATGCGGGGTGAACCAAGGCTTGGTTTGCTGTCTTCGAGATGAAACTCGTCTGTACGCTAAGCAGCTGGCAATGGCTTGTGTGATGCATGACTCCCATGCCCACCACGCACTCTCGATGGTGGAAGCACCGAGCATACACTCCCGGAGTGGAAGAGATGAAAGTTTCTGTCGTAGAGATTGAAAGTCAGTGTTCGCGTAGTCTGGTACAAAGCGGGGCGGCGGGTGCTTTGGGGTGTGCTTTCCTGAGAGATATTTAAAGATTATGGGACAGTGGTCTGATAGCGGATCTAGGACTTCAAGGTCGGATATACGATGCTCTGCGTCTGTGATAACCAGGTCGAGAAGTGATGACTGGCTACCCGTAGCTGAGTATCGCGTTGCGGTGTTTCGGACAATTTGCTGTAGTGCAAGGTCGTCTAACAATCCTGCTAGCTGTTTGCCCTCTGCCGTATCAACATCTGTTGCGTTCCACTGTCGGAGTTTGGCATTGAAATCACCGAGAATGACTGTCGTGCCTGAGGCTGACAGTGCGTTGGCAATGGTGGACTGGAAGGACACAAAAAAGTCGTGTTTTTCTGCTGATGATCGGTGAGGGGGCCTGTAAAACATGTGGAATGTATTCTTTCGACTGCTCTGCGATTCTATAAATTCCACGCAAATGTGCTCCAGTTTGCATTCAAGGTCGGTCCGCCGTTGGAAATGGCACATGAGCGATTGTCGAATATAAACAGCAAGTCCTCCGCCTATCGCGGAGTGTCGGGCACCGTCTCTATCTTTGCGCAGGATGCTGTATCCGGGAATTGAGATGGCTGCATCCGGCAGTGATTGGTAGAACCACGTCTCACAGAGGAATAGGAGGTCAAGGGACGAAGTGTGTAGTAGCGACTCAATGACTGGGATCTTATGAGTGGCGCTTTGGCAGTTGAGTTGGCCTATCCTAAGGTGGAATGAATGTGTTATGGGCGTGTAGGGTGGATGGCTAGATGTCACATCAGCAAGAAGGGCAGGGAGGGGTTCTGCATCGTGAGTAGGACATATACTGGTAGGCCTGGTTAGATTTGACTTAGAGGGGAAAAAGCTGGGTGCTAGGGGATTAAGAGACGCCATTTGTAAGAGTGTCGGCAGAATCAGTACAGTAGTAGAATACAGATTGATATGCGCAAAAATGTTCCTGACCACTATTACTAGGATGCTTACTTACTCAAGTGCCGTCGATGACTTGCGGCTACTCGTTTGGCAACATCGGCCATCTCTTTCGCGCTGGCCTGCTTTGCCCATTGCTGTTGTATGTCGACATTGAATGCTGGCTGCTGCTCGGGGGTCAGCTGGGTGGGGGTCAGGACATGGGGTGCGAAGGTGTGCTTCCCCGATGCTAGGGTAAAACCTTCTTCATCTGGAGATGAGTGGGCGGCTTTACCTCGGGATGGTGGTGGCAGCGATGGAGCAACAGGTGTAGAGGCCTGCTGCTGTTGCTGCTGCAGCCCTTGGGGAGGATTGGCTGAGTCCACAGATGATTGTTGTTCATCTTGCACGGACCGGCTTTCCTGGGGCAGAGACTCATCGCCAGTCGCTTGTTCCGCGCTGTTGGGGTCAGGGTGCCTGTGATGCCGCTCATCAACAGTGGAGGCATATGTACGGTTTGTCTCTTCATTCTGCTCTGTGCTGGAAGTATCGTTTTCCTGCTGTGAGGTTTCTGAGATCCCGTCGAGGGGGTGCTTTCCCTTGGGTTCGGTCGGGTGTATTTCTCCCCGGCCTGGGGTTGATGCGTCTTTTTCCTGTTGTCCGCCTTCAGCACTTTCATTTGTGTTCGCTACGGTATTTCCATGCCGTTCTTGCGTATTGCTCTGACCTTGTGTGACCTGTGAGTACAGTGCTTTCTCTCCTGCATGCGTGTTTGGGGTTGCCTGGGTCTGGCTGCTTTGACCCTCGGCCCCTGCGTACGCCTGGTTGCTGTTCTTGCGTGTTGGACAGTACCTTGCCTCGTGGCCAGTCTGTGTACAGAGGTAGCATGTCTGTACTTGGCCAGGGTACCATGTACGTACAGTGACACTACCTACTCTCAGCGTACTCGGTACTCCTTTCTGCAAGCTGATTCGAATCTGCCTGGTTCCTGTTTCGATAGCATAATCTCCATGCTTGACTGTTTTCCTCGTCGGCTGACCGAAAACTTTCCCATGTGCCTCCAAAGAATTGATTAACGCTCCATCGTGTAAATGCAAGGGACAGCCGAACAAGGACACCACAGTGACTTGGCTGCCTCCAACAATAACATACACATCCTTACCGGCGATCCGGACTCCACTTGCCGCGATCCTATCTCTCACAGCTGGGCAGGACAACGTTACTACATACCAACCTGGCTTTCCGTGTAAGTCCACTAGAAGCAACTCCTCTGGCTTCACTCCATTCTTGGATAGCTCCTCAATGAAGAAAACGTGGTCCTTGGGCCACTCTGGATCCTTGGGGAAGAGAACAGATGCTGCTGAGCCAGGAGCTACAAATTTGCTCCCGCCCGCCATCGTACCCAAAAAAAAAAAACCATGTGAGAAACCATATCAGTGCACTATCCCGGGCTGTGAGCAAGCATTCTCACACTCCTCCGCCCGCAACCGGCATGTGCGTACCCACAAGTCGAATATGGAGAAGCAAGCCAAACCTGCCAGTGGATGCAAGTAAACAGACACTGCTCTTTCGGACCAGCATCACCAGTTCAAACAAGACAATTTCGGCAGGAGCACCAAGTCAGAAGATAACAGCCCCAGGAAATGCAGTTATAGGGCCATTAGTGGTGTACGTGTTTGGAAACATGCTTTCTGTGCTGACGTGCACTGTGTGGAATTTGAGCAATAGAATGATCTGACAAGTTTGTGTGTGTGTACATGTGAATGTAGTATCCTGGCCTAAACTGCATTTGCTGCTGCAGTCATCCTAACACCCTCCGCTGGCAACCATTCACGTCTTTGATTTATGTATTATTGCAAAACAGCCTATGTACAGGGTATTATATTGCTGTAGAACGATGTATTGGTTTTCTGAATGATGACATTACCCATGTCTCTTGCCTCGCGTATAGTACTTTACCGTAGTCGCATTTTGGGTTTGCAGAGTTTTGACTTTTACTTGTTTTGTTAGTTCGTTTGTGGCTTTTCCATTTTCTGTGTTTCCTTTTGCTATAATTATGTTCCTATTGTGCATGTGGAACGTGGTGTTGGTTTATTACATGTACTGATATTGTAGAATGTCATCAAGGGGCAGGTGTTGTAAAACGATGACATTGTATTTCTTTTTTGTATGATGATATTCCCCAAACTGTCTCTTGTTTCGCGTACATGCGTGAGATGAGCATACGTAATTAGTGAGTTTTCAGTCTTGCCTTTTCAGTCTTCTTCTTCCGTGGAAGTTGTTGTCCCGTCTTTCACGTTGTGTCGTTCTTGGCGGTGCTGAACAAACGCTTAGGACCGTTGGTGCGACACTGACTCACGCTGCTCTCTGGTGTTCACGAGGTTTTGTCACGCTGGAAACGGAGCGTCTCTGTAAGTTTGTATTCCTGCTGATGTTTGTGCTTGGAGAGCAATATAATTGGTGCTCTTCAGGCACAATCTTCCTCAGCCTACTCAAGCTCAACTGATGAGGAGTGAATTGGGCAAATCCCCTTAATAAGCCAGACTCCCTGCATACGAACTCCGCGACTACTCCCTTTATAGGCACGATCGGCAGCACTGTAGAGGCGGAGGAGTCGCCGTGTATGTTCACTCATCCATCCCACACAAACACAAAACAATCAACACGATAAACAACTTCCAAAAGCTTTGGCTTGAATTTGTTCTATCGAATGTATCACATACAATTGGATGCTCCTCAGACCTCAGACATGCCCATCGCGGAAGCGATGATAGCGAACAGCTATGTTAGACATAGCAACTTGTGCTGGGATTACACCATTCAACAGCTTGCAAGGCTGATGAATTGACCGCCACTATTTTTAGCCTGGTATCCACCACACAGCTGTTTGAAGTGACTTTTTCTGGCCAGTGAATCCCTATTTTTCATTTTTCCATTTTTTTCTACACACACACCACACCACATACTCCGGCATACACTGGCTGTTGGTAACCACCCAGGAGAATGAAAGAAAAGTCAGGAAGAGTCCGAGAAAGAGAAGAAAGACGTGTGCGACCATAATCGTCGGGAATTGAGCCCGCAACCTCTCGATTGGAAATCGACTGCACATACCACTGCACCATATGGGACACACTCCTACCTTCCTCCAAACACAGATCCGTACACATTCTGCCAACAACTGGAGCCCTGTCTAGGTCTGTGCTATATCAACTCTC